AGGCACCAAAAAAGAGACACTTAAAGTTCAACAGTCTTATTTTTTAGCATGAAACTCTATCTGAAATATCTTAATGGCTTTATGAAGAGTTTATCCATCGCTTTTCACATCGGTATTTTTGTAATCATGTGACCCTCTACAGTCACGTGAGCTCCGATTTTAGGTCAAAATATGAAATGTCAAAGAGCAAGAGCCACTTTGGGTCTTTTTTGGCCCTGAGAATTTCTGAAAAATCGAAACTGCTCTGTTTTGGTTGAAAATGCAGTATTCATAACTTGGACCCTTGGTGAAAGTGTATCTATTGAACATGACGTAATTTTCTCTCTAGTCAATGCATTATGACGTCATAGAATGCGTCATTTTTCCCATATCCTGTGAATTCCCTTAAAAATGGCCAAAAATTGAGATATTTTTTCAATATTTCATATAGAGCACAAGCTCTGATCCAAAATATACCCTTACATAACGAAAGATCTATTTCTGATGATCACAAAACATGTTTTAATTTTTGGATCGTGGGCTGTGCTCATACTTTAATTCTTTGCTAAATGTAGTCAAATACGTATGTTTTCTGCAAATTCAAGAACATTCCATTTTCTCAAAGATTGTTTTCAAATACCTGGATTCCCAAAAAGAAATTTTGTTATAGGAAATGAAAGCACTAAGTCTCTACTTTATTTTGATATATGAAATGGGACAGAGGGTGATAGTCAATTAATTGATATAAGGACAGGGCCATTTTATGCATAAAGTGAACCAAGCTCTTTAACCAAAAAGTGCAAGGGCAAGGCAAACAATATTTGAACTGCACAAGGTTTCATTTAGTCCCTTGGTAACTATCCTATCGAAAAACTGATGCTCATTCAGTCAGATTTCTGAGATATTTAAGTTATTCATTGACAACAAACACCAGTATTCAAAATTAGGGTATTTTTCATCATTTAATCGGAAATTTTAAATTGCTTAATGAATTACAAAGAAATGAGCATCACTTTTTAAAAACTATACAGTAAAATAAAGAATTTAAAATAAAAACCTACCTCTTGGGTTGTCGCCTTGCCCTTGCAGTTTTTGATTAAAAATTGGAATCTTAACACATTCATTCTAAATATAGTTTTCAAACGCATCATTGACTCAGCATGGGAGATAACTCTGTGGTACTTAATAGAGGTTGTGTACCTTGCAAATTTTAAACAAATAATACCTACGGACTGTGCTGGGCTTTATTTCACTAAGTCAAAACGGTATGCATAAAAAAATCTTTGACATTACTTTGTTTTTTATATCTTCGTTATTTTATACGCTACACAAGACATACTTGACACCTACCGCATTTCCTCCGTTCGTCAACAATAGGCCTTAAATTTGCCGCAACATCCATCATGTAAATCAATTGGAAAATGCCCATGGTTAAAAATATTGAAAGATTCAATCATTTGTAATAAAAAAAAATAGACAGCCCCTATCAATGGTAGAACATTTATTCTCCCTCAGTAGACACACAGAAAAAATATCTCCAACAGAACTTTTTTTTTTTTAAATAAATTATTTGTGATTATTTTAGTTATCAAATCTTCAACTGTTTATAGATTCTAGACTACGTTAAAAGTTTTAAGAACAGGAGGAAGGAATTGGGGTGCTTACTCCTGTATTTAATAACCTGTTTTCCTTTCTACAGATCTACCCACCCCCCTTTTCCCCATCACCAGTTTGCCTCTGGCTCCTTTGATACCATATACCTTACTGACATGTTAAAAATAAATTATTAAACAGTGTTTACATCAGGTTTTACTTATTTGGGCATTCACTGTTGTAGCACAAATCACATTGGGGAAGGGGGGGGGGGCTTTAGTCTCATGTTTTTGAGTTATTATCAATCAATACGCAAACAAGATAATCGTAGTAAAAACTTTGTAATCAAGAAACAGATACTCTGTTAAAGAACAGGTGAACACAATATACATGCTGAAATTTAGATCTTGTTGTACCCAAAAACACAGACAGGCGCGGAGCCAGAATGGAAATGAAATGAACGGCTGGGGTGCGCTTTGAGACCCCCAGTGCATTCAGGGCGAAGTCCCTGGAAGCTCATGGTTTTTACCAATATTTCATTCAAAACCATGCCATTTCGATTTTCTTTAGAAAATACAAGACATAGTAATATTGTTTTTAACACAAAGTTAAATACTTCCGTGCAAATTTATTGTACATGTAGAGGCTGAATATTTTTTTAATTAAAAAGATATATTGGTATCATCTTTCGGCAACAAATATAATTAATTTCAATTAATAACAAAAATGATATTTCAGATCATATTCTAGTGGATCACAGCATTCAACGGTTGACATTTTCTCAAAGATCTTTAAAAAAAATATCAATGTGTTGTAGGAGAATTACAAATTAATGAATGTTTTATTTGGTTTTGGCAATGATTTAATAAAACATTACAATTTTTTTTATAAAGACATGGTAATATAAAATTTGAATTTGAATTGAAACAGTATGAGATAAAACAATTTGAAACACAAATATTTGCTGCATGGTATTGATATTTTTTCTCTTCTCGGAATTCTCTCCCCCCCCCCCCCATCTTTTTTTTTTATTTGAAAACGATGTGTACCTACCTGCGTATTTGCGTATAGGCAGCTACGCGCCTGTCAGAATACATGCAAATAAATATATTCAAATCTTAACAGCCTTCAAACTTTCACACCATTGTACTGTTAAAAATTCAAAGTATTAATTATCTAGCAAATTTATTTAAGTAAAAACAGCTTTTCAATTTTAAAGGCAGGCTGTGAAGGGATTTCTGAGCAGGTGCAAAATATTTCAAACAGTCCACAGTTCAAACAGTTCTTCTGGATGAAATCAATTCTGAAATCAAAATGAAATACCATTATGGAAAGTTCATTGGTGTTTTAAAAAAGTGATACTCAAAACAATGCATTGAGTAACATGGAAAGCATATACATGACTCTTCTGTTTTTATTATCAAAACATTCCAATATTCTTGCTAGGAATATGTATGGTTTATAGCTAATTTGGAGCATACCTTTCTATTTTATTGGTGCAAACACTTGCTGCCTGAATGAATTGTTCAAATTGTTTGGGAGTAGCTACAACACAATATATATGTAATGAGTGAAATACATAATGATTACTATTGTAAAATGAAATGACAATGCATTGTGCAAAACAAACCATGCTATACTATATTTTCTGAAATTCATAAAATAAATGGAAACAAACTTTTGATACAAAACTTTTCTGGGAAATTGAAATCGATGACATTTGCAAAAGTAGAATTGGTAGCTAAACTTAATTTAAGTAAAAAAAAAATAAATCAGTAGACTAGAGATAACATTTAATTCTTTCACCTATACAAAATTTAAAAAAAAAATTTAACACTGGCATACTATAAACTTAATGTGAAATGCTTTAGTGTGATCATACCCAGTGGAGAAATTGATGCATCTATTTTGATAGTTCTGGCTGATGTAAATGCCAGTTTTAACCAGTTCTGTGGCAGCTACTGTACAATGATAAAGAATTATACATATTAACTGTTCATAAATACATGTATATACATAGTATAAGACTGGCTTAATGTACATGTAGTCAGACAAATGAAAATTCAAATATCTATCTTCACTAATGTATCTTCTACAAATTTACAGCCTAGTGATACAGAGAGAAAAGTTCTACGGATGAATTTCAAATATGAAGCACTGGTAAAATCTGAAATCCTAAAATTCACACATTTTTGATTGCCAGAGGTATAAATTAAAATTTATAGGGTCTTATACTCTTGTATGTACAGTGCACATACATTATACACTGTGCAGTTTGACTTCACATTGAAATACATTCTAAGTGTGACTGCATCTAAATTATAATTTGATATCATGACATGCTGTGCATATATTATGTTACATGTTTGTACATGTACATGTATGCCAAAGGACAACATCGTTGCATGTTTAAAAGTGTTTAACTTTCATAATGTGTGTGTTTGTGTGTGTGTGTGTGAGGGGGGGGGGGGGGTTGGCATACACACAAGGCATGCATTACAGTTTGTGACGGACTGTAATAATACATCTTATTGTACATGTTCACGGTTATTTTACATCTATGTAAAGACAAGTATGTCTACATGTTAATACCTATGCGCATACACACCTAAATGAACAGAAAGGGACCTAGGGGGGTAGTGCGGATCGTCTCAGTTTCCCACGATTTCCCGAAATAACGTCATCATCTTCTCATCAAAAACATAAACAAGGCCTAAGTCTCTTATTTTATCCCTATTCTCTTTAAAGATTACCTGATTGTTGCATTTATCCACTGCATATCTCATCTGCTGTCGCCACGTTTTAAGATGTAAACATCATTTCCGTGTCACCGAGTGCAAGCGCTTGGCTGAAGCCGAATGCAGCCAAACGACACAATAAAAAGAGAATTATTTCGAAGACGTGTTGTTACTATATAAGAGAAAATCACTAATGTATATTTATTTAAACCTGAAAATACAGACATTTATTACAAATTCTCGCAATCATCATTAAATAGCTTTTTTGAGCTCTGTTTCCTTATATAGATCTATCAAGGCGGAGCAACTGTCATGACGTCAAACCTCATTATGACCTCATTACCATATTATCTTCATGTGTAGCCTTAACTGTACTGCGTGGATATATTACCTTAAACCTGTTTTTTTTATTGACGATTAAAGAAATTCTCTATCTTTTTTTGAAAGTGAAAATTCATTTTTCTTTTTGAAAACGAAATTGAGCAGAATAACATTTTGTTATTAATTTTAGCATACAATATTCTTTACATTAGAATGTTCCTTGGAATTCGAGAAGACAGTCTTCAATGCGACAAGGGTGTTCATTCCCGGAACGTCACTGACCGGCAAATGCAAGGAGGGATACGTAGCGCTATCTTGGGAAATCATAGCAACATGCAACACCGATTATCAAGCAACGCTATCAGAAACATGCCGCCAACGTAAGTATGCGGTAACACAAATAGCAAAAAAAAAAAAAAAAAAAAAAAAAAAAAAAAAAAAAAAACCTGATTATCAAACCAGCTGTCAGGTATCTGCCGCAAAGGTAAATATTTGGACATATAGTAACAGACATCTCTGATTATCAAAAAAAAAAAAACCTGTCAGATACTTGCCACCAATGTAAATGTTTGTCAAAATTTCCACTCGATTTTCAAACAAAGCTTTCGATACGTGCCACCAATGTAAATACAGATGTATTTGAGGACAAAATAGCAACATTCAAATCAAACATGAAGCATTCATATGAAACAAAATTGTAAGAAACATGTATTCAATGTAAGTATTTGGGTTAATAAAAGAAGCATGTAACACCCATTCTCAAATGATGCTGTTGAATACGCTTCGCAAGGTAAGTATTTGGTACGATTCCTAACACTATAGATACACAAACTCTTAAGGCATCAAGATCCATTACATATGTCATATGAGTCAAAGAATTATCAAGGTCATTTCAAGGTGTCTGATTCTCAAACTTGTCAGTACTACTAGCACTGCTACTATAACTTCTATTTCTATTTGTAATACCCTTACTACTACTTCTACATGACTTGTATAACTTCTTCTACTATAAGTACTATTTCTATTACTAGTACTATTCCTACTACTTATGATAATTAATATAATCATCATTATAATTATAATAATACAGAAATGAAAACACGCAGAAGGAGAAAACAAAAATAAATAAGTAAAAAATTAAATAAAAATAGAATTTGGATTTAATATTGATATTTCCGAGAAAAAGCTTAAATCATTGACGTAGGGCATTTGTTTTACATCAATTTTAGTGCTTAAAAATGTTGCTGTGGGTAATCCAGCAAGGCAATCGTCAACTCATTCAGATAGCGGACCGGAAAAGGCCGTAGACGGAATTAGAAACACGGATTTGATTGATGGTGTGTCCTGCACTCACACTGTAGCCGATTCCTATTCTTGGTGGTTGGTTGATCTTCTGAAGGAATATTACATCATTTCCGAGAGAATGCTAAACCGTGGACCGGACAGATCTGGAATTGGTAAATATGTATTTCCATACATGTAAAATTATCTATATTTCACATCGTAGAACATAAATTCATATTAATTTAAGCATCTTTTTTTGTAATTAACCTGCAATTTGTTCTTTTTTGGGGGGTCAAATCTTATAAAAATGTTAAATGTGTTCCATCCATTCAAAGTCACCATGCTTTAATGAGGACATTTTGATGAAGTAATTTCCTCTTCTTCAGATACGTCGGATCGTCTTCGTAATGTTACCATCACTACGAGAGTGCACCCAAACTATACTTCCATATTTTGTGGCTTCTATGCTGGACCAGGAAAACCCTCTGAACTGGTTAGGGTTGATTGTCCACCCTTCACTAGAGGACGTTACGTCCAGATTAACTTATAAAATTATGGTATACTAAGTCTCTGTGAAGTTGATGTGTTTGCTGTTACACTACAATTAAATGACAAAAAGTTACCTCTTTATTAAGCCTTAGCCATATGTAAAGAAATTGTGTAAGAAATCTAAATTACTAATTAAAAGATTGATTGCTCGTGTATTCTTATCTATTTTTAGAAAAATGTGACAAAAAGCTATTGTCATTTGAGAAATTTTACACACTTTCAAAGGATGATATATAATGACTCAAAAGATATTGAGATTTTCAACGATGTGTAATGAAAATCGCTATTTATTAACAATACATTCATTTTCGCCTATATACGCGAAATGCCTGCTCATAAAAAGAAACCTCGTGTTAATTTTTATCTTGAAAGATTATATGTAAGAACAGTAACAAAATTTTATGACAATTATTTATTGCTTTTAGATACGAATTGACTTTCTTGTGAAAGAAAGTTGTGGCGAAAATTTAAGAATTTTGTCACATAGAATCATGGTTAAAAAGTACCTTCCAATATTTACATTTCCAATGTCTTTGTCCGAGATAAAATTACAATTTGTAAAAATACTTTATTTCTACATAAATCTACATAAATCTACTGGTTCATCGATAGGCGCGGTTAAAAAAAAATCACGTGCAGGGCGGGACAAATAGAGACAGAAGCGGGGCTATTAGCACGGGAATTTGCAGAATCAGGAGCATGTAAATATAAGGAATAACTGTCTTATTTTTTGGATTCATGACGATGATCAATCGATTGGCTTATCACGCAAGCCACTCGATTGATCACATCATGAATCCAAAAAATAAGACAGTTATTCCTTAATTAAATCTTAACAAAAGGTCCGGTACCATCTGCTATCAAAGGTTATAAAAGGCATTAAATAGAATTTAGAGTTTAGAGTTCTCCATCTTCTTTCTCCATACCAGGTCCAAATCTTGTCAGAAACAATCCAGTTCAGATTTAAAGGTATCAACATCTTCCTATAAGACTTGTGAAAGTGTTTATCCACAGGATAAAATCAATGCTAAAGCAGATCCTTTGTTTCTTCTTTGCTATTCTTACCCATTGCATACTGGCTATGCAATAATAGGTATCATTAAAACATTGCTTTGACGTCATATACCTATGTTCTTCCAGTCTAAAAGTTTACCGGTAGCAAACCATAATATTAATAATTACCAGTCCAATAATACATATTTTGGACGCAGTGTTAACAAAATAGGAAAAGGTTTAAAAACAAATCTTAGAGTGAAAAAAGTTTAATACGTCCAGAAATTGAAAAACAAAAACAAATTGAGAGTAGGCAAATGCATGCAATTTCATGAGAAAGAAAATATAGTTTAATCCTGCTTTAACACTACACATAGATTTTTTTTTGAAACAGAAGAATTCGGTTTTTACCGTCTACAGAAAAACAACCCTTTCTTTCCTTTTGTCTTCTATTAGATGGTTTCAGTAGAAAACTACTGATGCTTGAATTCCTCGTGTATAATTATGAAACTTATAAATGGCAATGCTTTTAGTATGAAATATACCTCATACAATTCTATATGTAAAATAATCCGACTGTTTTCGGCACTAACAGTGCTCAAACAGTCTGGGAATTTTACATATAGAACAGTATTTATTATGCATATATCCATTACATAAAAACTTGGACATTAAATAAGTCAATCTTTAAACAGAATCATAAACAAATTTCCGCTTTGTCGTACTTCCGTGAGAACATGAGATGTGTCAAAAGCCGTCTTTTCTTTCTTCCTAGGATGCAAATATAATGATTTTCATTCCGAAAGAAATAACTTCTTTTTCTTACAAGGAAATAACTTCGATATTAAAATCTTTCTGCATATTATGATCCTTTTAAGAATGCATGAAACCGGAAATAAAATTCTCTGCATGCATTTTGAATGTTGCCTCAAATCGGATGCTCTCACCTTGGTGGTGCTGGGGGTTTTCCCTAGAAACCTATGCATTATGTCCTTAGCTTTGCTATTGACGAATTTCAATAGGTAACCGCTTTCTTTTTGATGGCCGAGTACACAGAAGTCCAGACTTGTAGCCAGTTCAAAGAACAGAGTTCAGTTAGATGTTTGCAGACTCCATATTTATTGGATTGTGCCTCAATGATTTTTTTTACAAAAATATTTAACAATAATTTCAAGCTAGTGTTTTTATTTTAGAAATAAGGCATTCTTTGTTCAAAAGAAACAAATAAAAACGAGATCAATATTATGAATAAATAAATAGATAACAATAATAGCTAAAGATAAGTGTTATCGTCAAAATCAATTATTTTAATTTTTTTTCAAGGTATTTTAAACTGTTTTATTTTCTTTTTCTACGTAAATGATTAAAGCAAAAAAAAAAATGCTTTGCACGTTTAAACGGGGTTGAAAGCAATATAACATAAAAACAAATGAATAAATAAAAATAAATAAATAAATAAATAAATAAATAAATAAATAAATAAATAAATAAATAAATAAATAAATAAATAAATAAGAAATAAATAGATAAATAAAAAATCAATAATAAATAAATAAATAATAAAAAATAATCAACAAAGTAAGTTTGTTATCAACAGGTTTTTAAAAATGTTATTCTATTGCCTTATCACTCAAATTTTAAGCAAAATAACCGATGACTGATGAAGGTAACTTAAAGTCGAATGCAAATGTACTTAATTTAAGTTTCGGATGGAAATACTTTATTTCCTTCTGAAAGAAATATTTTCATTTTTTCTTACAGGGAAAGACCTTTAAAATTGATAAATTTTTTGCGGTTTTTGGTCCATGTCAAGATGTGAGAAAGCCGAGATAATATTTCTTATATCTTGAATGTTGCCTTCAATTGGTTGTTTTTAAAATTTTGTCTGAGAGCATTATATATTGGTTAGGAAGTTTTCTTTTATCACAGTCACCCTAACAACACTTTACTATAGATAACTTTAGTTTACTTTAGTTAACTACAGGCCCGTAGCAACGGTTCGAAAAGTGGGGGGGGGGGGATTTCCCCAAAAAATAGTAATAATAATTAAATAAAAAAGAAAAATTAACCGTCCAAATCCTGGAATTTGCCAGTGCTCGACCTTACTGCATCAAAAAGTGGGAGGAGGAACCAACATATAAACAGAAATTTACTTACTATAGCAAACTACTAAACTCAGAAAGAGGGGGGGGGGGGGGTAGAGGGGGCTGGCCTCCGCTTTCTTAAAACTTTGATACTTTTATTTATTATAAAACTTTACTCTTGACTTTTTTTTTGAGATTTCAACACTTAAAATCTGTTAAATTCGGAAAAAGCGGTATAAAATTTAGAAATAATATTTTAATATACAAATAATAGTTCCATTTACTATATAAAAAATGTGCATGTATGAATTTGAAGAACAAAAAAAAAAAAAAAAACAAAACAAAAAACAATCTGAAATCCATAGTAAAAAATATCTTTGTTGGTACCCAAAGTAAGATGTTGTCTCGAGGAATATACCTGTGAAATACGAAAGCCCCAGCAGCAACCATTGAAAAGATAGGAAAAAGGTTAATGTTTTTCAAAAGTAAGTCAAACACCAAGGTCGTGGTCAAATGGTCAAAATTAATGGTGCCCAAGGAAAGGCCTTCTCACAAGAAATACACATGTGAAATATGAAAGCCCTAGCACCAATCGTTCAAAAGTTATGGCCAAGGTTAAAGTTTTTCAAAAGTAGGTCAAATTCCAAGGTCAAGGTCAATAGGTCAAAGATGTTGGTATCCAAAGTAAGATTTTGTCAAAAGGATTATATATGTGAAGTTTTAAAGCCCTAGCACCAACTGTTCAAAAGTTATAGCCAAGGTTAAAGTTTTCCAAACGAATGTCAAATTCCGAATTCAAGGTCAAAGGGTCAAAGTTTTTGGTATCCAAAGGAATATATGTGAAGTACGAAAGCCCTAGCATCATATGTTCAAAAGTTATGGCCGAGGTTAATGCTAGGTAAAATTTTGATAATTGGGTCAAACTTCAAGGTCAAAGCAAAATATGATGATACCCAAAGAAAGGTTTAATCACAAGGAATACACATGTGAAATGTGAAAGCCATAGCTCCACCAATCAAAAGTTATGGGCGAGGTTAAAGTTTTTGGGGACAAAAGACAGACAGTAAGAAAGACAGAGAGCTAGACAGACGGGGCAAAAAGTATATGCCCCGAAATCTTTGATTAAGGGGGCATAAAAACTTTGATACTATAGTAAAGTATATCTATGGTAAACTATCTATCTATCTATCTATCTATCTATCTATCTATCTATCTATCTATCTATCTATCTATCTATCTATCTATCTATCGCTTGTATTAGTTTTGTATGTTATAGGTAAAAAGACATTCCAACACACATCTTAATATATCCAAGTATACAATGTTTTAATTATAAAATGGCCCAAATTATAAGCCAAGGTAAATTTGGAATAGTTATGATATAATTAATGCAAATGTTCATACACTTATTTTTTGGCATTACCCTCTCACCCGAACCAAGATTTTAACAATTTTATGCTTGTAAATTTTATATCTTTCATAACTCTATCCTTCTTGTCAGGAAAAAAATGTTGACATTTAAGCAAGCCACTGATACATTGTTTACTGCAGTTCCAGATCAGTGGTTATTCATACCTGATGATAACAGGATTAGCACGAATACTAGTAACGTTTTGAAATCTAGTTCGTGTGCCTTTCTTGTAATGTTAGAATTTTTCTCTTGATATTTTGCTTGTGAAAGTTACCAAATAATAATGACAATAGCAGATTTCTCTAATTACCCACACAAGGAAGTTAGGGAATATGCAAATTGATATTTAATTATCATAAAGACATTTATATATTATTAAAACATTCTAAAATATCTGAATTTCCAGACATTGGCACACATATAGAAAGCATTTTTAAAACCTTCGCACACAAAGAAATAAACTTTTCTGTCATAAGAAATTGGCATGTCACTAGATTTATCCGTATCCACAAA